CTAGAGTTCCTGGCAGCTGCTTCGCCTCATCTCTGTGCCATGCTCCTCGCTCATGAGGGAGACCCCGACGCTCCTGACATACCTACTCCTCGCACTTACGCTGAGGCAGTGTCAGGGCCTTGGGCCTCTCAGTGGAGAGCTGCCATGGACGCAGAGATGGCCTCCTACAGGTCCACAGGCACTTACGTTGACGAGGTTCCCCCCCCAGGGGCGAACATCGTTGACGGCATGTGGATCTTCAAGGTGAAGCGGCCGCCGGGATCTCCCCCATTCTTCAAGGCGCGCTACGTTGCTAGAGGGTTCAGTCAGCGTGAGGGAGTTGACTTCTTTCAGACCTTCGCGCCCACCCCGAAGATGACCACTCTTCGGGTGTTACTGCACGTAGCAGCGCAGAGAGACTACGAGCTACACTCTCTTGACTTCTCCACTGCCTTCCTCCAGGGCCGCCTACACGAGGAGATCTGGCTGCGTCGTCCTCCGGGCTTCACTGGCACTTTCCCGCCAGGGACCCAGTGGAGCCTCAGACGACCGGTCTACGGTCTCCGCCAGGCACCCCATGAGTGGCACGACACTCTCCGCTCGACTCTCTCCGACCTCGGGTTTGAGCCGTCTTCCGCCGACCCGTCGCTGTTTGTTCGTCGTGGGCGCACACCTTTCTTCGTTCTCGTCTACGTTGACGACCTGGTTTTTGCCACAGCCGACATAGTTGCACTGGCGGAGGTGAAGTCCGAACTGCAGAAGAGACACACCTGCACTGACCTTGGGGAACTGCGCCGCTACCTTGGCCTGCAGATCTCCAGGGACAGAGCCGCTCGCACCATCACTCTGACTCAGTCACACATGGTGCAGCAAGTCCTTCAGCGGTTCGGGCTTCAGCACTCTTCCCCTACACCCACCCCTCTTGCTGTAGACCACAGACTCACTGGGCCTTTTCCTGACGAGCCGTTCGAGCCCAGTGGTCCCTACGCAGAGCTGGTGGGTTGCCTCATGTACCTGATGACGTGTACTCGCCCGGACCTCGCCTTCCCTCTTAGCATCCTTTCTCGCTTTGTTGCGACTGGGAGACACCGTCCTGTTCACTGGGCGGCGGCTAAGAGGGTGGAGAAGTACCTGGGCGCGACATCAGACATGGGGCTTGTACTTGGAGGGACACAGCCAGTTGTACTCACCGGTCACTGCGACTCCTCCTACGCCGACGACGTTGAGACTCAGAGGTCTACACAGGGTTACTGTTTCAGCATGGGCTCTGGAGCTGTTTCGTGGAGGTCTACTCGGTCCTCCTCTGTTGCGACTTCTACCGCAGAGGCCGAGATCTACGCTGGAACCCTTGCTGCACAGGAGCTACGCTGGTTGACCTTCTTGCTCACTGACCTTGGTGAGTGGCCGAGCTCTGCACCGACCTTGTTTGCTGACAACAAGGCGATGATTCTCCTGTGTCGTGAGCCTCGACTGGAGAGCAGAGTGAAGCACATCGACGTCAGGTACTTCCTCCTTCGAGAGTTGCAGCGACGCGGACAGGCTCGTCTGGACTTCGTGGCCTCCGAGGCCAACACTGCAGACATCTTCACCAAGGCTCTTCAGCCTTGTGACCACCGCCGGCTTTGTCTGCAGTTAGGTCTCGTTGAGACTGGGTCTAGTAGACTGCAGTAGTTATTTCTTGCCTCTTGTGTGTGTGTAACATATATATATTAGCTTATACACTCTTGGACTGGCCGTGTGGCATGAAGCTGATGGAACCTCGCTGGGGCTCGTACGGAGCGAAGGTAGGCTGCTGCTGTTGATTTCCGCGCGCGTAAGATTAGCCATCGAGACTCATGGGTGTCACGTCGTTGTTGTTGTTGCTGTTGTTTGACTGCGCAGGTGCCCCTTGCTGGTGTTGTTCGTAGAAGGGCATGAAGGAGAAGAACTTCTCCATCATGCTTGGGTCGAAGCCCGCGGCTTGGTTTGCGGGAATTTTGGTAGACGTTGCCCTTGGTCTTGTTGCCGTACCCTCCTCTGTCTGTAGGCCAGAGGCAGGAGGTGGAGTACGAGTAGTACCGGGAGAGCCGTTAGAGGAGCTTCTCTCCTTCTGCGTTGCCATGCCTTGTGATGTTGTGGGTGTCTTGATTGTAGTTGAATTTGTCCTGATAGCTCTCATACCATGTTGGGCTGAGAAAAGCCCTTAGGATCTTTGCAGGACTAAATTCTGAGTAGGACAATGTAATAGCGGAAGCGTTTTAATGAGAACTTTGTGAACCACCTTGCGCTAGTATGTGAGGGCAAAGTAGATTGATTAAGACAAAGAGATACAAGCTTTTATAAGAGTACAAGGAATACGAAGAGATACAGTTAATACCGTAATCCCCCGTATATAGGACCCCCCCCAGTTGTAGACCCCCGGGTCTATAATACGGACCCGGGTACTCTATTCGAGTACATCTGAGTTATACCCGCTAAATGGCTCCTGACATTATAAGACCCCCCCACATACTAGAGAAGTGCGGATTTTACAAAAAAATGCAATTGAAAATGGTAACGAATCTTGAATTTCAAATGAGTCAACACCCATTTTCAATGTGTTTGACTTTCGAAGGCTTCACTTGTTGCGCGTCCAGTCAGGATGAGCTGGCACGCAGGCAAAGTGACGTGCCAAATCTCTGTGCACAGTCAGGGAAACGCCCTCGCGCGATTCTGATTCAGGACGCTGTAAAAGTTCGATTTGATTGAACTTACGAGACTGAAATGTACAACATCGTGCATTCTTATAAATGTCAATGTGAACAGACCCGGGTCTTCTAAAAAACATACCATTTAATTATACCCCCCAGCCTTTTTAGGGGTGATTATCATAATACCCTAGGGTCTTATATACGGGGGATTACGGTAACCGTTTTGCTGTTGCTGTTGCGGTTCGATACAGTGACGACTCGGGCAACTGCTAAATAGCGAGTCAGTTGTTTGTCCTTGCTGTCGTGCTGTATTTGTCAGGTCAAAGGTCACTGACCTTTGACTTTCGCATAACCTCCAGCAGTTGTTCAACCTCCGAGGGTTGACTCGCTGATGCTTCGATATGTTTCGCTTCGCTTCTGACTTGGTGTTTCGACACGACAGAGGCGCTTAAAACCAGGGTGCACATTCAACGCGGTTCGGCTTGAGATGTTGGGAAGGGGGTTTGGAGAAAAACAGTGATTGGCTCACGAGGGGCGACAAAAAAATGATTCCGCTAGAGCTTCGGGCATTTCGTAGGTGGCGGGAGGGGGTGAAATGGCGGGAGTGGGTGAAACTGAATGGCGGGAGGGATGAAACAGATTGGCGGGAGGGGGGGGGGAAACGAAATCGCGGGGGAGGGGGGAAACAAAATTGCGGGGGAGGGGGGAAACGAATTTCGACGGGGAGGGGGAAATGAAATTGCGGGGGCGTGGGGAAACGAAATTGCGGGGGAGGGGGGAAACGAATTTCGACTTGAAGGGGTTGAAAGCACACCTCGTAACCCACTCAGTCAAGGGATAACCTTTGATGCACATTCAGCTGAATGTGCACCCCGGTTTTAAGTTACTTGTTTCCATTCCAACAGTCAGCACCTGCCTGCGTGCAGTTTACCCTACATTAACATATCAAGAAAGACATAATGGCCTCAACCACGTCAACTGGCACCGGATGAATTATGTATGATGCACAAACCCCATCCATGAGATGCAACGCAGAGCACAGACATGTGGTCCCTTATTACTGCTCCTCTTAAAGTGTGGTACATCACCCTTCTTACCTTCAATCGTATCTTGTTGGAGAGCAGTGCCCACAATTTTAATAACCCAGCTACTCTCCTCTCACCACTTCCAAATTTGTACCATACTTGTAACCTTATCGTGTGTTAGATGGTTTATCTGTGCAGTGATACGCTAATATAATCAGTGGTCCTGCAGTATCATTGAACAAGTGGCATGTCAGCACCTGCCTGCTTGCAGACACTCGCAGTTTACCCTACATTATCATGTCAAGAAAGACTCTAATCTACACATAATGGCCTCCAACCACATCAACTGGCACCTGATTAATCATCTCTGCCGCACAAACCCCATTCATGAGATGCAACGCAGAGCAGACATGTTCTAGGGCAATTAGCACACAACCACATCACGTAACACCCGGTTGATCATCTTTGCCGCACACATCCAACAGTATCCCTGATGCTCAAGCTGCGTAGGCAAAGCGCAGACATATTCTACGGCAACTAACACACAACCACATTAGCTGACACCTTGACGATACCAGTAGCAGCCGCACTGAAGCGCCCACCTTAACACTCTTTGTCGCCTCTGACTTCAACCTCTCATCACATGGTAAACCGCCCTTTCTAATGCCGTTCCTTTCCACCCCTTGCTTATCCATCTCATCACAACCAGCCATTCAACCCCCAGCTAACCCCCTCCACTCCATCCACACAAAGACCTCATACACAATCACAACGCCCCTCTCAACCTCCAACATTACTCACTCTCAATCAACCACATTTAATTAGTCACTCCTTTCCCCCACTTGCCCCCAACTATAATAAAACTTACCACAACAATACCAGCTTTCTCCGAAAACACCATCAATCCCCCCTCAAACACCCATTTCGCCCTTAACATTATTAAATCCCCCTCGCATTATTTCCTCCTAAAGTACCCCGACTAACCTCCCTCATTAGTATCATCATAACCCCCTTCCTTAACTTTCCCTCTTCTCCCCATCCAAATTGAGGCAACTCACAGGATTCGGCTTGTCGACCAACAAGAAATGGGCGGTGTCGATTAGTCACCTCCCTCCTCAACTCAGATCTCTTCCATCCGCCTTTCTCCTTCTCCCACCAAGCCCACTCTACCGAGGGTTACCTCCCTCTCAGCCCACAATATCCAGGGGTGACCTCCCTTGTAGCCCGCCCTATTTATTGCTCTCCCCTCTCTGGGCCCACGGCAACTCCACCAGAGATTTGGCCCGCTCCTTGATCTCGCACCCAAAGTGCCATTCTGTGTCCCAGCTTACTCAGAATCCTCCTCCCCCTGCATCTGAAGAAGCTCAACTAAAGCCTTGGCCTTGCTCTTACATCTGGAAGACCCATTCCGAGTCAACTCGCGCAACACCTCCATCATTCCCTCCCCCTGCATGCCCCTGCAGCAATCCGGCTCGCTATTCGCCAGCATAAGCAGAGTCATCACCGCATCTTCCTTCGCTCTCTGTGAACCGCCTTCCACCACTGCAACCAACGCCGGAACCGCACCGTTTATCCTCAGCACCGCTTCACACCCCTCCTGAAGCCTGCACAGGTTCGCCAGCACAGCCATGGCTTTTTCTTCCAGCCCAACTTCCGAGCACCCCAGCAGCCCAAGCAAAACTTTCACCGCATCTGCTCGGACGATTTCCAGCCGGCTCTGCGGGTCTCTAGATAGGTTGAAAAGAACCAACGCCGCGTCTTTTTTTCCGCGCGTGCTGCCCATGCGCAACACGCCGACCAATGGCAGGATCGCTCCCGCTTCCCGAACCAGCGTCTGATTCGCCTCATCCACCGATAGCGCGAAAAGGGCAGCCGCCGCGTTTTCCCGGGCAGCCGGGCTGCCCGAGCGAAGAACATCCGTGATAGCCGCAATCCCCCCAACTGACGCTATAATAGCAGGCGCCCCAGCAACTAGAGAGAGATTCAGCAGAGCAGTTACAGCCTGGTCTTTTCCAGCAGGGCTGTTTCGTTGCAGAAAAGCCACCAAGGGTGGTATACCACCGGCAGCGATCAGCTTTGCTTTGTTTTCCTTATTGGCTTTTAGCAAAGCGCGCACGGTGCTTACTGCTTCCACCTTCTCGGCGTCAGAGTCGGAAGATAGAGCCTCGACGAGGGCAGGCAGATCAGCAGCAGCTGCTGCAGCGGCAGCAGCAGAGGAAGAGTGGTGGTGGGATTTAAGTTCAAGGTCGCTTCCGCTGCTAGAGTGACTCACGCTATGCGTTTTCCTGTGGCTGCTGCTGCTGCTGTGGCTGCCGCTGCTGCGGCTGTGATGAGTGCTGTGACTGCCACTGCTGCTGCTGTGGTGGCTGCTGCTGTGGTGACCACTGCCGCTGCTGCTGTTGCCATGCCCCCCACTACTGTGAGACGTGGTACCAATGTGGCTGCTGCTTCGGCTGTGACTGCCGGCACTGCTATGAGGACGAGTGGGTCTATGCCCTTCCCTATGCCCCTCCCTGTGCCCCTCCCTGTGCCCATCCCTATGCCCATCATTTTGCCCCTCCCTATGCCCATCCCTATGCTCCTCCCTGAGCCTCTCCTTGCTTCCGTCCCTGTGCCCATCCCGTGCCCCATACCCCTCTCTCTCCCTCTGCGCCCTGTCATATTCGATCTTCTTATTGGCTGGCATGGATGATGTCCTGTGCAAGCCCCCGCCCCCTCCGCCCCCCCCCTCCTCCACCCACTCCCCCCTTTCCTCCTCCCCCTGTTCCGCCTAGCCGCCCTCCTTCTCCTCCCCGCCTTTCTCCCTCCCCTCCCCTTCTTCCACTATCCAACCCCCCTCCCCTGCTTCCACTTTCCCCAACCCCCCCACGCCCCCCTCCCCCATCCTCCCTCCCCCTATCCCTCTCCCTCTCTCTCCCACCCTCCCCTCTCCCTTCCCCCCGTCCTCCCCTCCCACTCCCCCGCGCACCATCCCCCTCCCCCTCACTCCCATCCAGCGCCCCCCACTTCCTTATATCCGCTGACGTCAGCCCCGGCTGGACTGACGTAGCCCTTCTCAACCCTCCCCCTCCTCCTCCTCTCGCTCCGAACCCCCCACTACTCGGCCTCAACCCCCCTCCTCCTCCCAACCCTCCAAACCTGGTAGGAGGGGTCTTAGGACGGAGGCTCAAATCCTCCACTAAGTCTTTCCCAGAGGCGAAAGTGACCCCTCTGGTGCCTCTAGGGCTCTTAGAAAGGGAGAGAGACGAGGGGAACTGCCTGCGGGCTGGACTGTCTGAGTCTGCTTTGCTGCTGGTGGTGGCGCTGCTGCTTCTGGGAATGTCCAGGTTGGTGTTGGTGCTGCTTTTGTTTTCGGCATGGCTGACTGAAAACGAAAACGGCTCGTTATTGTCACGCTCGCCAGAGGAACCCGTTCTCTTGTGCGCTCCCCCTCCTGCTGCTCCTCCCTCCCCGCCCCCCCTACCACCACCACCCCCCAAGTCACCACCAGCAGCAGCACCACCACCGCCGCCACTAGCTTTCAACTCCTTCACAAAATCATGGAACGAAAACGACTCTTCCGAATCCCCACCTCTTCCCCCCCCGCCTCCCCCCAAGCCTCCCCCCAACCCTCCGCCTCCCCCGCCTCTCAGCCCCCCCGAGCTCCCCGGCCTATCCTTTGCCCCTACAGGCACGAGAGACGATGCTCTGCGAAGGCTGGAAAGCGGCCTTGATTTTCCAGAAAGTACCACGCCGCCCACCCCAGGAACGCCCGCTACAGCCGCTCCCCCCGTTAGAGGCACAACTGGGAGCCCCGCCAACGCGCCGCCGCCCTTTTCTAGCACTCCGCCGCCCCCGCCGCCGCTGGAGGAGTCGTGGAGCGAAACGGAATGGCCGCGTCTGTGGGACTGAGACAGGTCGAAGCTCTGTTTTCCTTCCTGGCCGAGGGAGCTTTTAAGAGGGCTCATGGGCGGTTGACCACCGGCGGAAAGCGAGTGCGGAACCCTCCCGCTCTCGCCTGCGCCCTTCCCCGCCCCTTTCTCCTCGTCCACCTCTTCTAGCGCGCCAAAGAACGAGTCGCGCGCGATCTTGCGCGAGTTGCGGGGCTGCAGGGATCCGCTCCGCAGAAGCCCCATTCCGCTCCGCCGCCCCACGCTTCCCCCGATCGGCACCCTGTTTCCGCCGAGTCCGCGGAAGGGGTCTCCACCCGCTCCCCCTCCCCCGGCTCCCAACCTGGAAACTCCCCCTCCGGCCGCGCCCCTGCTTCCCCCGATCTCGAACTCTCCGCTGCTAGGGTTGCTTCCCCCGCCACCCGCTAAATTAGATAAATGAGATAAATTCCTGCCCCCGCTAGTAGAACTCCTGTCATACTCACCACTCCTCCTCCCGCCCCGCTCTTCCCGCTCGGACAAATATTCCTTCTCGAGACGAAACTCCCCGCTATTGCGACGCTCGTTAGAAGAACGGTCGCGATCGTCATCGGAGCGGAAATTCCGCTCATCCCGATCGCTATCCCTGTGCCTGTCCCGATCCCCATCCCGGTCCTTACCCCCCCCACGCCTCCCGTCGGAATCTTTTTCTCCTGCCCGCTTCTCCCCCAGCATCTCCTCAACCGCCTCGTGGAACGCGTCTTTTCGTCCGCTGCCAGCGCGGCTGCCCGAAGCGGACATATTCTGCACCTGAACCGAGGTTGATCGGCGCATTGCGCTCCCCATCTTCCGCCCAAGGCTTCCGCCCGCCATCACCCCCGCGCCCCCCAAGTTAAGCCGGCGGTTCACGATTCCGCCGTTTCTTCCCATCTCGCCGTCCTGCCGTCCGCGCTCTTCCGGATCTCCCCCCTCCCGCCGCCCTCCGGAGAGCTCGTTCCTGCTTCCGCTCCGCCCGGAATCCCTTCCCCCTTCCCCGCTTCCGCGCAAGCCGCCGCTTCCGCCTCCGCTGTGGCCCCCGTCAAGCGGATCCGCAGCTCGGCGCAACCCGAGGGACTTCTCCCCGCCTGCGCCAAACCCCCTTCCGCCGCCTCCCCCTTCTCCGCCTCCCCCTTTCCCCTCGCCCTCCGCCCCCTCCGTCTCTTTAAGCGCGCGGAGAAACGCCCCCATCGCACCGGCCTTGGGCTGCAGCGACTGCGATCGGGAGATCTTGACCGTCCGTGTGGCACCGCTCAGTAGCGCATTCGCGCCGCCGCCTCGCAAGCCACCCGCAAGTCCCGGCGGCGTTCGCGGAGGCTCCGCGTATCCGCGGCCGCCAATGGCGCCGTTTCCGCCGCTAAGTTTGGGCGTAGACGCTTGGGCTCGCTGCAGTTCCTGACGGAAACGGATAACCTCGTCCATGTGCTCGGCTGACGTTGACGGCAGAACGCCATTGTGGCCGTCAGGTCCTGCACCGCTGCCGGCAGTTTTACCGGTAGGGCTTGACGGATCGATCTGGGTTACAATCAATCCAGGAGCGAGGTGTAACCCGTTCGCGTCGCACCAATCAGAAGTCAGCTGACGCAGCGCCTGGTTAGGGAAGAGACGCATGTGCTCTTGGTGTTTCCCCGTTATAGGGCAGACTCGTTTGCCCTGTTGAAACCATTTGTCAATGGCGCTGCGTTCGAAGGTCTGACCCGACCCGATAATAACAGGATCCGATAAGAGCTGGTGCGATAGCGGGCAGATGAACTCCGGTGGGACTACAGGATGCTTGCCATCGTGGTTAGGAACTACTAGCCGGTATGCTGCCGTTTCTGACATGACTTTTTGCGACCCTAAACGTCAGCGCTGGGCTGAAGTTAAGGTACAAATTAACGATAATCTCCTAAAGTCAAAAGGTACCGTGGGAAAATAAGTTAGTTAGAATGTATCAAAGATCCAGACGGAACAGCTACCTTTTGAGAAGCTAAGCTCACCTTGACGACATGGATCAATTGCGTTCACTTATCCAGCCTACGTCACTCCAGCCTGTAACGACTTCCCTAGCATGAACTCAATTCCGCCTTCTCTCCAGGCTGTCTCATCCCGCAAAAACCTTGTGCCGGCATACGAAAGGGCACCGGCGTTGCCCTAATTTCAAAACACCAAAGGTCGGTTAGCAGACAGCGTTTTCAACGAACTGGAATAGCTGCACTACGAAGACGCAAGGAGGCCCACGAGCAGCAGGCAGCAGGCAGCAGCCATGGAAACGATAACAGCAGTACAGTCTGCACAATGAGGCAAGGCAACTCTTGAAAGCCAAAACAGAACGACAGTTACTGCAGGTGGAATGGTGAAAGCGTGCCGCAAAGTTTATTACCGTACAGAACAGAACATTTCACACAAATCATCGTTTTGTACCGCAGATAATCTCATTGAGGGCATCCCAACAAACTCGTGGCAAATGCCCTGTAGAACAACACAGCGCTTCTTTCGGCTAGAGAACATCGGGCGGCAAGTTTCTTGTGAGCGACTTGGGCGACGGTTTCGTGTGAGGAGCTGATGTGCGACTTGACGAAATCCCATCCGCCAATCAATGGCGCTGACGGGCTACATCGAGAGACAATTTGACTGTATCAGTCGGTGGACGACGACTGGGTGCGGAGCTGAAAACGGGGGGGCAGCGCCTATGATCGGTCTGCCAATCAAACCAGCAATTCTGCTGAATGTAGAAGATTCCGTGTAGACCCTCGATCATTATTCAAATTAGTGATACAGCATAGTAGTGAGACAACATGCTTAGGGCGACATCAGGTTGTACAACCTCCTGTACGCCTACTGCGGTTAGCTTTGTTTCAACAAGGTGCAGAGCGGTACGAGGTGAGAACCGCTTTTCACCGTGCTGGACCATCCTGAACCACAAAACAAGAACTGTAAACGCGTGAGAATTGTATAACCTGACTTCGCCCTTACTATGTAACCATGGTTTTCATTATATGCTCAAGCGAGCAGGTGGCCTCAGCCACTGCTGAATGGGTCCTACCAGTTTCTCTTTCTTCAACTGAACATGCTTTAGCCTCGCAACATACTCCATCCTCTTACTTCTCAACCTTACCAGTTTCTCCTCAATATGAGCAAGCTTTACTCTTAGCCTCTCCTCCTCACTAGGCCCATTGACTTCCACATTCCCATTGTTTTCACACTTGAAGTCACAGCAACCCCCCTCGTCACCGCTGAAGTCCTCATGCTCGACGTTGTCAGTGAAACAAGCACCTTCAACCCCCGCCACTACATAATCATCATTCATCAGGTGAGCGACCTGCAGCTGCTCCAAGGTTCTTTCCACAGGATAAGAGCAGGATGATGGGCTAATCACTTCACCCTTGCGAAGGGAAACTGCGACGGCATCACGAGAAGATATGTTGAGAGATGTGACTGTATCAGGGGTGACATGAGAGCCAGACAGACCCAGGGAGCCGACGGATGGAGCAAAGCCAGATTGGGAACAAGGAGAAGTAGTCTCAGGCATGGGTTTGGGCGAAAACGAAGATGCCAGGGTGGACTGTGGAGAGCAGAGGGATACCAGCGCAAGATGAGACAATGTCCCAGGTGCCTCAAGAGGCGTAGCACTCAAATGCCTCTTGACATTCGAGTCCATCTCCCCGGGAAATGAAAAGGTGGAGGATCCTGGACCAATGCGAGTTCTTGGATTCACTTCATCTTCAGCAGCAGCAGAGCTCGGCCGGGAGAGCACCGGCGGAGCGGTCATGCAGGGAGGAATCATGATCGTTCGCCGATCCCTGTCAGCTTTTCTCCGATGTGATTCACAGTGGGCTTGCTGAGACTGTTGAGATGGTTCCGTCTTCATGTTATTCGTCGTCCGGGAAATCCGAGGATCTCGAGAGGTGTTTGGAGAAGGAGAAGGATGAAGGAGAGGAGGCGATAGACTGCGGGTCCAATGCTTCGGATTGAACTTAATACCGGTGCGGAGGGTTCCGTGCGTGATATGATGAGGTAAGAGGGCTTGCGGAACCCGACGTTCTCCCTTTACATCTCCGGCTGCGTACGAACCCTGGATCCGGCGCGCGTGGTCTGCCTCGTCGTCGCTAGAATCACTCCCGCTGTAATCACTTCCTCCGCGGCTTGTGAAGCCAGTTGTCGGCGGAGGAGCCGCGCAGGCGAACATGCTCAGCGCTGCTCCGCGCAGACCTTGGTTCCGCGAATGCCGTTTCCTTCCTTGCGAAATTCCCCTGTTTTTGGCTCCCCCGCGTGCCATTCGTCGCGGTTGAGCGTAATAGTCATGCATTTTCGCAAAATCGGAGCCCGTTTCTCCGTTCATGGTCGCAAACGATCCTAACGAGGGGGTTATCACTCGAGCACGTTTGAAAAGAGCCTCTGAGAGGCGTGTCTGTCAAAATAATTTTGTACGATCGCGCGAAGTGCGCTGGGAGGCTATGGCAGTACAGCTGACTTCAGTATCCTCCAAGCACAGCCATGGCCGACAATTAGCTTTTATTGCTGCTGCTCCTGCTGAAAGGTCCTGCGAGTGGTCCTAATTCTACTTTGGTTCTGCTTTGTTAGAGAATCGCATCGCAGAGTTGTGCAGAGAATTATCATGACAAGCTCCACCGAGCCACATTCATTGGTCCCAAAACAAACCGCCGAACCTCGGCTTACATCCATGAGCACCTCGAGCTTGGCTGGAGCCGAGAGGTTCGGAAAGAAGCTGGGGCTAAACCAAGACGTGGTTCCCTGGCACCAAGCCTCAAAACGGTTTGGCGAGACAGAAACGAACCGCGATAGTTGTGATGTGAACCTCTGACAGGCTTGATTTCGTAAGGCATCGCTTCAGGCTCGGACGGACTGAAAGCTCGGCCTGTCATCGTCATCACTCGGCTCGGCTCGGCCAGGACGCAAGAGGGACCAGGGGTGCCTCCGGATATGGCAGTGCTTGCAATTTGGCTTGTGTTCTCATGAGATGTAACCGCAGATGTGCTGCTGAAACGGTCATAGCAATTGTCTGTTTCAGCTGTCAGCTGTATTGTACAGCGCAGCTGACCAGTCTCAGGCCGCATTCTCAAGTCTGCCCACCATCAGAAGTCTGCCCACGCGGCTCGAAATGTTGGTTTTGGAATTAATTCACATTTCAATGTTTGCCCACACGGTCCGACTTCAGTTCAACTGGCCACGGTCTCATTTCTCTGCCTGCACGTCAATGTGCGACTTCATAGATTGGTGGTTTGGGGGGTTGTGCTTTCGGAGAGTCTGGTTACGTGCTACTTGCTGTTGGGAAATCTTGACTTGCGCGACCTTGAGGCATGGCCGTTAGGTTATTGCCTGACGATATTTATCGCACCTTCTTCGTGTGATTTTACGAGAAGATTTTATTGGTGGCGAAACCGATTCGGTTGGACACCTGTCATGCGATCCGGGCGACCTCTGTCGCCTGCCAAAAGTAGGTTTGGTGGCCAAAGTGGGGCCCTGTGTCAGATTTATATGACATAGCTACTGTAGGCTATAGTGGGGTAGCACATATGGGGTACAGTTTTCTAGGGTTTACATTTGTACCCAACTTTCCCTTAGTCAATTCATTCTCGTTCAGTTTCTCATGGTACCGAGCAGGTTCCCCTGTGGGAACTGTTCCTAGGGCCCACCACCTTTTTTTCCTGCCCGGAGCGCGCTCTACACTGCCCGAGTCGCGCTCCCCTCTCTCGACCCTGTCGCGCCCGATCCACCAGAGCCGCCGGAGCCGCCGCGCCACCTGAGCCGCCCGAGCCGCCGGGTCGCCGAGCCGCCGAGCTGCAGTTGCTGCCGAGCCGCCGTACCGCCGAGCCGCCCGAGCCGCCGAGTCGCCGAGTCGCAGTTGCTGCCGAGCCGCCGTACCGCCGAGCCGCCCGAGCCGCCCGAGCCGCCGAGTTGCCGACCCGCCGAGCCGCTCGAGCCGCCCTGTCCGGTAAGAGCAGCGCCTCTGTCACTGCACTGCCCTTACCCTACTGTTCGCGCTGCTAGTCTACTGCTGTCATGGCTACCCCTAGTGTCCTCGCTTTTGACGCTGAGGGTCGGGCCATTGACTTTGACGTCTGGGTAGATGACCTGCAACTTTTCCAACAGTGCGATAGGGCAGACGGTCTCTCCCTCTTTGACCTCACCTCTGGTGCCTCTCCTGCCCCTGCTGCTGATGCCAACGCCACTGTTCGCTCACAGTGGGCCACACGCGATGCTGCTGCACGTCTTGCTGTGCGTCGCCACCTGCCTACCTCTGAGCGTGCGCACTTTAGCCAGTACAAGAGTGCTCACACCTTGTACGACGCTGTAGTTGCGCGCTACTCCTCCCCTGCCACTGCTGCACTGAGCCGCCTCATGCTACCGTACCTCTTCCCTGACCTTGCTGCCTTTCCCACAGTCGCTGACCTCATTACGCACCTCCGCACTAGTGACAC